TTTGTGGCAGAGGAGAAAGAGACCGTGAAGCACAAGTTGGCTCTCAAAGCTACAGCTCAAAAATGACACACATCATGTTCACCTACGTTTCACTGACCGGAGCAAGTTACATAACAACTCTTGGGTTCAACACAACAGTTATGTAATTTCTTTCAAGAAGGGGTACCAAAAGACATATGGCCAAGCCTGAAGCCAAAGATTAGGGAAATATGTCTCCAGGGAGGGGCAGAAAATACCTTGAACAGGGGTGCCTGGGTAGCTTAGTTGACTCTTGATTTCCTAGGGTTGTGGGATCAAGTCCCACATCAGGCTCCATGCTGAGTGTACAGCTTGTTTAGAATTCTCTCTCTCTCTCTCTTTCTCTCCCTCTGTCCCTCCCCTGCTTGCACACACTCTCAATAGAAAGAAAAGAAAAAAAGAAAATATCAATAATACAATCTAGCCCACCATCTTGGGCCCTAGGAGGTGGGATCAGATCCTTCAGTGATGAGATGACTGGTCTATCTAAAATTCAACCCCATGGAGTTAGGTAGACATTCAAGACTGTGTTCTGTTTGCTTTTTAAAATATCTTCCTAAAGGATTTAACCAATCGCTACACAGTGGGGTGTGGTATCCAAGGCCACCTATAATTTATTTCACTTCACTGATTTGGTTTTAAGATAACTTACCTGAAAACATAGGATTTTGAATTGGTAGTTCAAGGGAAGAAGCTCCTTACTCCCAGCCCAATCATGGAGGTGGGGAAGAAGGAGGACCATGTCTACATTATCATTCTGATTGTCTTTTTTCCAGAAATCCACAGTCACCCACAGCATTACCAACTCAGGACCACACTCTAGTGATGTTGTGGACTGGCTGGCATCTGTGAGATGGTCTGGAAACAATGACACCATTACAGCCCCGATTCTATGGCATAACGATTACTGAATTCTTATCTACGTGCCTTACGAGTGCACTTTGAAACACGACCATTTTGTAAACTGGACTATGCCTGTTACCGTGTCTTGGACAGACGGCTCAGAAAAGGTAGTAAAAGACAAAGACACCAAGAGATGAAGGCGAAATAGGGCTAGAATGAATAAATGGAGAGACAACGACAAGTTACATTTTATGGCAGCTTCTGAAGATTAACTTGAAGAGGTCACAGGGGTATGTGAGGCAGTACACCAGGCTTAGCATGAAGAGATAAGTGATCAAGAGGACTATTTCCCAAGTCAGCCCTCGTGTGTGAACGGCCCCACCATACTCCCAGGCACCTTGGGTCCAAAAGACCAGTACGTTCTGACTTCTCGCTCTTAGCCAGTCACTTCCAAAGTCCCAGCAATGCTACCCGTATGGCCTCCTGCACGCCTCTCTTCTCTCTTCCCCTCCCATGGCCATGTCCTTCTGCACTGCCTTACCCTCGCTGCTCCTTATCACCTCCAGGCTGACTAATGGCAAAAGCCTCCTAACCAGGCCTCTGACTTCGAGAAAAGACCAACTGAACAAAGCCAAAAGTTCCCAGTCCAGGTCTGGTCCCAACATTCACTAATTAGGTCCATTTGTAAAGAAATCATTTGATGTCTCTGAGACTATTTTGCTCCTGTCAAATAGGAAAATTAAAAGTGTCTCATGTATGGAGGCACCATGAAGACAAAATGAGACAATGGCTATGAAAGCTGTTTGTCAGACAGAAAACGGAAATGATGGTAACGTTTTACCTCATCAGCACCCATCTGATGCTCGGAACACGAGTCTGAACATGGCACTCTTTCCTATAGAACTATTCTATGATTCCCCAATGACTACGAATGAAGTCCACATTCTTTGCCATGACTCTTCAAAATCCAGTTTCAACTATCTCTCCAGACTCATTTCTTCTCCTCATGAAGGCTACTCAACCATTAAGAATCAGCTCAGAGGTGCCTGGGTGGCTCAGTTAGTTAAGGGTCCAACTTGATCTTGATCATGACCTTGATCTTGGCTCAGGTCATAATCTCATGGTTCATGAGTTTGAGCCCCGCATCAGGCTCTGTGCGGATGGCATGGAGCCTGCTTAGGATTCTGTCTCTCCTTCTTTCTGCCCCTCCCCGGGTTGTACTCTTTCTCTCTCTCAAAATAAATAAATAAACTTCAAAAAAAGGTGAGACCTCTTTTGAAAGACAACCCTTATCTCTTCCAACCCCAACGTGTTTCTCAAGTGCTTGCGCCTTTTACATAAACTTTCCCCCCAGAATCTTCCTTTGTCACTTTCTACTTTAGACTGTATCTATTTATAGCTACTACTTTTTAAGCTTCTGCTACAAATCCAAGTTCTGTAGTAGACTCTTAACATCTATTTCATTTAACCAAAATAACAACTCTCGAATAGCAGTGGAACTAATTCAATTTACATGAAAAAAAAAAATTACCAAGTTGAAAGCAAGAAATTAAAACAGAGGAAAAATTCCAAAGCCCACATTTTTGTCCCCAATGCCTGCTGCCTTCCATGGCTTCATTTATGTCCCCTGACTTATGCCCCAATTCGACTTATAAATCCTTTGTTAGTGGATTCAGTATGATTTATCTTTGGTATCCCTTGTAGACTCATCACAGAACTCTATGCATAGAAGAGGCTCAATATTTGTTGAGCTAACAAATGCCTATAGTCAAGTCATTTGACCTCTGTGGGCCTCAATTCCTCAGCTATAAAATTGGGAATATCAAAGGGCCTGGCCATATAATGTGCAGAGATCAGCTTATTTGTACATGTTTGCTGAGCTCTTATTACATGCCAGGCACTGTTCTAAGCATCTCATTGATCCTCATAAGAAGGTTATGAGAGGGGCACCTGGGTGGCCCAGTTGGTTAAGCGTCAGACTCCAGCTCAGGTTATGATCTCACGGTCTGTGAGTTCAAGCCCTGCATCGGGCTCTGTATTGACAGCTCAGAGCCTGGAGCCTGCTTTTGGATTTTGTGTCTCCCTCTCTCTCTCTGCCCCTGCCCCCACTCAAACTCTTGTCTCTCAAAATGAATAAATGTTTAAAAAACTTGTTTTAAAAAAGAAGCTTATGAGAAGTACTGTCATTCAGTCCGTTTTATACCTGAAAAAACTAAGGCACAATTAACTTGTACCCACAGTTAACAAAGATTTTCAGTGGGTGGCAAAACTCGAACACTCGAACACAGGCAGTCAGGCTCCAGAACCCACGTCCTCAACCAATCTGCACCTACAATTTCTGCACAAATTGGAAGCCCAAGAAAATCAGCTGACAAATCATTAGAAATGGTAACAGAGTTTCAGAATGTGGTTGATAACAATTAATATGTAAAAATAATGTACAAATATTACACGCACACACACTGCTTTCACCTAACCAGACAATAACCAAATTAATTAATGAGATAAAAGATCCCTGTCATAATGAAGTTAAAAACCCTAAAATACCTAGGAAGAAATTTTTTATAAACACGGAATATACACAAACACTATAAAATTCTACTGAGAGACACTTAAAAAGTCTTTAGTAAGTGGAGGGTTTCCCAGCTGGAAAGTCTCACTAATGAAAGAGGTGATAGAGTTCTCTTTTCCCCAGGAGGGTGTGGCCTAGTTCAAAAAATAGGCACTTGCAAATAAATTGGTGTATTTTGGAAGGAAAGTTGAGGCGGGTATCCATAAAAATTTTATGTATGCATCTCCTTTGACCTAGAAGTTCTACTTCTAGGAATCTACGCTGCAGAAATGCCAACACACGCTATCAAAGAGAGAAAAGGAGGGTTCATGGCAGTTTTGTTTGTAATAGTAAGAAAGAGAAAGATAAAGAGGGGGGAGCCAAGAGGGAGAGGGGAGGGGAGAGAGGGAAAGGAAGAAGGAAGGAGGAACTGCAGGGGAAAAAAAGGCCCAGCAACAGGGAACATATTTTAGATAATTCTACAAAGGGATGATAAGAAGCCATTAAAAAGGAAGAGAAAGTTTTAAATATACTAACATCAAAAAAGTCTTAGGTAGGTCTCTGCTATGGACTGAATGTGTTCTCCCAAAATTCGCGCATTAAAACCCTAATCCTCAGGGCGCCTGGGTGGCTTAGTCGGTTAAGCGTCCGACTTTCGCTTAGGTCATGATCTCACGGTTTGTGGGTTCGAGCCCCGCGTCGGGCTCTGTGCTGACTGCCAGCTCAGAGCCTGGAGCCTGTTTCAGTCTGTGACTCCCTCTCTCTCTGACCCTCCCCTGCTCATGCTGTCTCTCTCTCTGTCTCGACGTCGCCGACGTCGACGCTTAACCGACTGAGCCACCCAGGTGCTGACTCGGGCTCTGGCCGACAGCATGGAGCCTGCTGGGATTCTCTCCATCTCTCTCTGCCCCTCTCCTCTTTGTGTTCTCTCTCTCAAGAAATAAACATTTTAAAAATAAAATTAAAAAAAAGAAACGAGAGTGTGCTTGCCTCCTCTCTCTGCTCTCTGCTACTGAGAACACAGAGAGAAAGTGGCATCTATACACCAGAAAGAGGACCCTCAGCAGCACTCAACTGTGCTGGCACCCTGATCTCAGATTTTCAGCCTCCAGAAAATGTTTCTGCTGTTTACACCACCCAGTCTATGATAACTTGTTATGCCAAACTGAGCATATTTTCAAAGTCTCTAAAGGGAAAATAATGCAAACGATGTCAATGCAAATTGCAAAAAAAAAAAAAAAAAAGTACATAGTATGGTCATTCTATTTTTATTATGGAGTATAATTTAGTAGGAGATGAAGGTATGGAAGCTTCTCGTTTTGCTTTCAACACTTCTGTAAGAGCATGTACTACTTTTATGGTAATTATTAAATGTTCATTCAACAAATATGAGTCATGTGCACTGACTGGGATGGTGAACATGTCCGCCAGGGCCCCTATGTCCTGAGGGCTGTTGTTACCAAAAATCCAATAGAAATCCAAACAAAATTTTGTTTGCTTCTTTTGGTGGAGCAGGGAAAGGTTAATTAACTTGATCAAAGTATTCTAAAGATTTTCTGGAATTAATACTAACAAAAATGGCCAGGAAATGCTTGCTTTGCTGGTATATATACTGAAATTGGGGGGATATAGCAAACTTTAGCATGGCCCCTGTGCAATGATGACATCAATGTCATGTAATGCTTCATAATTTTTTATTGTGATGGTGGTTACATTTGACAAAATTCATCAAAATATATATTTAATGGGGCGCCTGGGTGGCTCAGTTGGTTAAGAGTCCGACTTCGACTCAGGTCATGATCTCACCATTCCTGAGTTCGAGACCCATGTCGGGCTCTGTGCTGACAGCTCAGAGCCTGGGGCCTGCTTCGGATTCTGTGTCTCCCTCTCTGTCTCTTGCCCTCTCCAGCTTGTATTCTGTCTCTCTCATGAAAATGAATACACATTAAAAAAAATTTAAAAATATACATATACATTTAAATGCTGTGTTTTATGGCATGTAAACTATACTTCAATAGAATTGCTTTTTCTAAGAGACAGGAAAATGATAATACAGAGCAATAAGAGAGAATCTGCCTAACTAGACCTTAAACCTACTATAAAATCTTCAGTCATTAAAATAACATGGCACTGGCACCAAAATGAACTGATAAATAGACAGAAGCAGAAATCCACACATATACAAACATGTAATAATTTAATCTGCCATACTTGAAGTAATTTAACTCAGGGGTAAAAAATGGACTTAATAGCTTTGCAGCAACTGGCTCACTATGCAGGAAAAGTAAATTACTGCTCCACTTTACAAATTAAACTAAAATAAATTTCACATTAATACTGTCAAACAAAAGGTTAAAAGTACCTAAAGGAAAATAAAGAAGTTTATTTATATAAACTTGGTTTAGGAAAGGACCTTCGCAGCAAGGTCCACAGGCAGAAACCATTAAAAAAATATATGACTAAGTAAAAAGTTAAACTTATATATGGTCAAAGATGAAAAACTAACATTAGGCAGATTGGGAAACACTATGCAACATATATGACAGAAGTACTACTTTAATATGTAATGTGCAAAGAGTGCTTAGAAATCAGAAACAGAAAGACATTCCAACTGAAAAGCAAAAGACTGAAAACTATAGAAAGCTAGTGAAAGAAATTGAAGAAGACACACACAAAAAAGGAAAAACATTTCACGCTCATGGATTGGAAGAACAAATATTGTTAAAATGTCAATACTACCCAAAGCAACCTACATATTCAATGCAATCCCAATCAAAATTGCACCAGCATTCCTCACAGATCTAGAACAAACAATCCTAAAATTTGTATGGAACCACAAGAGACCCTTATTGGCCAAAGCAATCCTGAAAAAGAAAACCAAACCTGGAGGCATCACAATTCCAGACTTCAAGCTGTATTACAAAGCTGTAATCTGATCAAGACAGTATGGTACTGGCACAAAAACAGACACATAGATCAATGGAACAGAACAGAGAACTCAGAAATGGACCCACAAACATATGGCCAACTGATCTTTGATAAAGCAGGAAAGACTATCCAATGGAAAAAATACAGTCTCTTCAGCAAATGCTGTTGGGAAAACTGGACAGCGATATGCAGAAGAATGAACTTGGAGCACTTTCTTACACCATTCACAAAAATAAACTCAAAATGGATGAAAGACCTAAACATAAGACAGGAAGCCGTCAAAATCCTTGAGGAGAAAACAGGCAACAACCTCTTTGACCTCAGCAGCAGCAATTTCTTACTTGACATGTCTCCAGAGGCAAGGGAAACTAAAGCAAAAATGAACTGCTGGGACCTCATTAAGATAAAAACCTTCTGCACGGCAAAGGAAACAATCAGCAAAACGAAAAGTCAACTGACACAATGGGAGAAGATATTTGCAAATGATGTATCAGATAAAGGGTTAGTATCCAAAATCTATTGAGAACTTATGAAACACAACAGCCAAAAAACAAATAATCCACTGAAGAAATGAGTAAAAGGCATGAATAGACACTTTTCCAAAGACATTCAGATGGTTAACAAACACATGAAAAAATGCTCAGCATAACTCATCATCAGGGAAATACAAACCAAGACCACAATGAGATACCACCTCACACATGTCAGAATCGGTAACATTAACAACTCAGGCAACAACAGATGTTGGTGAGGATGCAGAAAAAGAGGAACTGCTGGTGGGAATGCAAAATGTTTATAGCAGCACTATGGACAATAGCCAAAGTATGGAAAGAGCCTAAATGTCCACTGATGGACGAATGGATAAAGATGTGTGGTTGAAGATATTAATACAATGGAATATTACTTGACGATCAGAAAGGATGAAACCTGGCATTTGCAACAACGTGGATCGACTAGAGTGTATTAGCCTAAGCAAAATAAGTCAAAGACAAATATATGATTTCACCCATCTGTGGAATTTAAGATACAAAACAGATGAACATAAAGGAAGGGAAGCAAAAATAAGACAAAAGCAGAAAGGGAGACAAACCATAAGAGACTCTTAAATATAGGGAATAAACTGAGGGTTGCTGGCAGAGTGTTGGGTGGGGGGTGGGCTAAATGGGTGATGTGCATTAAGGACACTTGGGATGAGCACTGGGTGCAAGTGATGAATCACTAAATTTTACTCCTGAAATCATTATTACATTATATGTTAACTAACTTGGATTTAAATTCTTTACAAATTTTAAAAAAGAAAAGCAAAAGAGAGGTGACTAGCTGGCTCAGTCAGTGGAACAATGTGACTCTTGATCTCAAGGATGTGAATTCAAGCCCCACCTTGTATGTAGAGATTACTTAAAAAAAAAAAAAAAGTTGGAAGGTGGCAAAAGAATTAAGACAGTTCACCTACACAAATGCAAAAGGCCAGTACGCAGAGGAAAAAGGTACTGACTGCCCAGGGAATTCCAACATGCCAATTAAAACAAGATACTATTTTTGTCCATCTTATTGGTTTAGATGTGTGTATGCAGAGAAAACTTTAAAAATAAGACATCCAGAAAATCTCAACAATCTAGATGAAGCTTTGTCATCTTTACTTTTCTCCTTTACGTTTTTCTGTTTCCTGAATGCTTTGTAATACACTTACCCTTTAAAAAAAAAAAATCAGTAATAATGTTAGGTGTTAGACACAGATAGTTTTCTCTTGTCTCCTCCTAAAGTACCTGGTACAGTGCACTTTGGAAATGCACCCCTAAAAAAAGCTATCCCCTTACCAGGTTCAGTTCTCCGGGCGAAATAAATACACGTGCACGCACACGCACACACTGAACCTGCGGGTTTTGCTAATGGTCTGCATAGTGAGATCATCTCTGGAATCGCTCTGCGGTTCCCCCGGGGACAGCAAGGGACCAGCGGGGGATGCCAGGGTCACACCCACCCTGCACGAGCTCTCGCCCCCGGCTACCAAGGGCGCAGTGCGGTACCGGCAACGCCCGCGCCCAGGGGCCAGGGGAGGAAGTGACTAGAGGGGGTGGTCCTCTCCATTCCTCGCGGAAAGAGAATGCGAGCGGGAGACCACAGTCCCGGATCTATAGTGTCTGCCGCCGACCTTGGGCAGTCCCCGCCGCGCTTGGGCCTCAGTTTCCCCACTCGTAGGTCGGAGCCAGGCTAACTGGCTCCCTTCGGCTGGTCTTTCCGGGAGCTGAGAGGGACGCCCTCCTCTGCCGGGTCGCCCTTGCTCGGTGCCCCCGCTGCTGCGCAGAAACCCCACGCCGCAGCAGCGCGTAATCCGCGAGCCTGGCTGGCCCGAGGGGCGGACGCGCGAGGGACCCTCGCCTCAAGCGCGCGGCCATTAGGCGATGCGCCCTTCGGCTGTGCGGCCCGACCAGGCCCCCAGGACCGGGGTCTTAACCTCGGCTCGCACGCGCCCAGCTCGCGCCTTCCGGTCGGCCTCGCTGCGCAGCCGAAGCCGGGGAAGGGTGGAGAGACGCCCTCGCCGCGACACTCATGCATCCCTGCCCTGACAGCGGCCCCGCCCGCGCGGAGGAAGCCCTTCTGGGGTCCCCGCAGGCCCCCGGCAGGAAGCGGCCGGAGCTCCGGGCGCGGCCGCAGCGAAGCTCGCCTGCCCAGAGCGCACGGCCGGGGGCGCAGGCCCTCGCGCCGCTGCCCTCCCCGCGCCGGCGGCGGCCGCGGTAATCCTCGTCCCCGCGCCCCGGCCGCGATGCCAGAGCGGCTGGGCAGGTCGCACGCAGTGCAAACCTACCCGGGGAAGGCGGTCAGCTCCGTCCTCTGCGTACGCCGAGGGCCGCCTCCGGTGTCGCCTAGGCTGGCTGGCTCATCGCCACTGAGGAGCCATCGCCCTACCCTGAGGCCCGGGCGGAGCGGGCGCCGCGCGGTTCCGGCGCGCGCTGAGCCTCGCCTCCTCCCGCGGCGCAGCTCCCGCGCCGGGTCCCCTCACTCCGGCAGGCCATGTGACCTGCGAGCTGCGGAGCGACCAGCTTGTGGGGGGAAAAGGACGGCAAAAGGCGCCAACTGATGGGCAGAAAAGGAAAAGCAGGCTCGGGGCAAAGGAAACTGCAGTTCTGGAAGGATTAGGTCTCTGCGCTGTTCACAGCCCCAGGGGCCTCCAAGCATTTTCTCCGCTGGAGGGAACTGGTTTTGCCGGTAATAAAAATAATAGCGGACACCCCACTTCCTCCCCGAATCCCCACATCACCCAACGTTATTCCAGGTGCCTTAGTGAATATTCCTCTAGGCATCACTTCAGCCTGATCTTTACATATTATCATTCCCTATTTGCAAATGACGGAAGATTTGAGAATTGCCAAGTACAACCTTTCCTAATTCCAAACGCCAGAACTGTAAACATTTATTAAAAATCAGAAAGGTTTGGTTGAACTAGATCACCTAGCCAGGCATGGGATTTAGGTCTGTGGTTCTTTCCACTTGCCTGTCAGTCTCCCCTGGGGAGTGGCTTCGGTGATTCAGTATCCATCCCCAACCTTTAATTTTGGCAGATATTTATTGAAGAATTCTTCTTTCATCGTGCCAACAACACCATAGATGAAAATGAGGTAAGTAAACCTACCTCCAGAACTTCTTTTACATGAGGTTAAAAATTTTGCACAGAACGTTTAAGAGACAGAGCTGAGCAAAGGGAGAAGAGAATTATGAAAGAGATGTCGGGAAAGTGGCTATCATGACTAATGAAGGGCTTTCATGCAT